CCAACGAACGAGCATACGGCGCCGAGAGCAGGTCTTTTCAGCAGACGATCGTTTCGACTCAAAAGCGGCGCGCATTCCGCAGGCGGCGACAGTCGCAGAAACAAAAAAGACAGGCGCGGTAACAGCAAGGAACTGCAGTTCCTTGTCTGCTAAACGGCCGGCTCTCGGCGTCGTCTGCTCGTTCGTTGGCGGCAGTTGGCGTCGCGACCGCTCGCGCCATCTCTTGTCTCCCGTGCGATACGGCGCCGTGTTGTTTGAAGACCGGTGGCGTCGCTGCGTTTCCATAGGAGCTAAGCCTTTTTCTTTCTTTACTTTTTCCTCGGGTAAGTTCGCTCTTTTCAAATTTTACAAAAAAAAATGCACCATCTGTGGGCAACACTGCACAAAGTCGTAGCGCGATAGGCTAAGAAACCGAATTTTCCGGTCGATTTAAAGAGCCTGGCGTCTCCTTGTTTCACCCTGTAGATATCCTCCGTCGAACAAGGCATTTTACACTCCAGCATCGACGAACGCAACGCGAGCCAGCGCTAACCGACGTCAGAACCGCGTCGACTCGCGCAGCGTATTTCCATTTTCCGTCGGTAAAATGATGCGATCGGTGGGTGTGGTCCGCCTGACTCGTGTGGTCATGCTTCGAAACAGCGATTTGGGGTAATAGTTAGCAGCTCAAAAAAAATATGATAGGGTAACGAGTGCACACCAGCGTTCATTTTCTCCGAAACGTCACACAAATTCGACGGAAGAACAAAAAATCACAATATCACGTTCGTTGAAGCTAGCCGCTTGGCAGGTTTGTCGGAGCCGTATGAAATCTGCTCCTGTAAGTCCGCCGGGATACATGGATGAAAATGATGCCCTCGATATTCCGCAGCGACCTCTTTCTCACAGATGGCCAGTCTGCTATTATCATAGCTAGCGTCTCACGCTGAGTCAAGGCACTAGGACGGAAGACAGCCTACGATGCCTACATTACCCAATGCAGGCATTCAAAATTCTAACGCACTTTACGCAGCCCATACCAACAATAATGGATTCAGTCCCATATTCATCTCATACCCCTACTATAGCTTACAAACTGAGAAACTCCAGTTGAATATTTCTGGCCGTCTAAATAGCAGACGTTTCATTGGGTTCGCCTTTCCCGTAGATTCGATGGCGCGTGTTGTTTCGATCGGGAACTGCTGCCGGTGCGCACGACTAGCACATTATCGCATATAGCACACACATTAGGCAATCTTTGATTCCGTTTATCGCTACCTTCGGCGCGTCTTTGATCTTCCAACTTTAGCCGCCACAATGTGCATGTTAGTCCCGAGGGTTTGTCCTACGAAGCGTCTCGAGGATCGCGCGTCGTCGAAGCAGTCCATGTCAACGCAAACACTCGTCCAGCCGATCGCACTTACGTTAAATATGCACACCAACACAGGAACCCGATAACAGCACACGACACACGGCAAGAACGATATGTTCAAATCGTAAAAATGAGCGTCTCACACACTTTGACTGACCCCGACGGCCACGACACCAAGATTCCCGAATGGGGCGCTCGCGCGGGGATTCTGCGAACGTAACCGTTGTCCGTGTGCGGAGTGTGCGGTTTGCCTTTCCGTCGTGAGCTATACGGACGCGCGCTGGGCTACGCTGAGCTACGCCGAGTTGCTCATGAGGCTGGAGTTTGCCGGCTCCCGTTCGCAGCCAGAGTTGTCCAACGCGATTACACAGGTGCGCTCGTCGACGTTACGACGCGGGAAGCCGACGCGCGACGGCCCGCGGCGGCTAAGTGGCGTACCCTATCGCCCGTTATAAAGATTACCATCGATATTTATCGATCCTTTTATCCATTCATCCGCCGGGGTCGGGTGAGCACATCACTGAGTCCGGCAAAAGGGAAGGAAAATTACAGTTCTCTGCTTTCGAAGCTAAATTTCGCTATAAGGTCTTTTGCACGAGTAATGCTTTGCGTCTTTGTCAAAGGATAATGCACAATGCGCCCAAAACTATGGACAATGATAACAATCGTAATCTCTATTGTTCCTGAACAAAAGAAGCGCAAGGGAAAAGAGTCCACATGAGTTTAGTAGGCTGTGAGATTAGTAGGCGCTATGGAATATGGAAGTAGTTGTAGTTATTAACTGACACCTGTTAAACAAGATAACTACAAAAACGTTTTTTTCAAAAAAACATATTAGGAGCTTTCAATGGCGATATTTTTACTTTCCCAAGCTTGTGTCGGTTTACCCAGAATTGTTAAGTCTGGAATACCGAGACTTAAAATTTTACAACACGCCATTTATTATATTTTAATTTAAAACAGCTATTAAGAAAACTTCCAATAAAAGTTATGCCGAAACCAGCATTCAAACTTTTAGTGTTGCGTAATTCGTAAGTTGAGCATGGAGTCGAAAAAACGCTGTATTTTTCGGGTGTCCTTTTAATGGCCTGAGGTTGATTACAATTTTTTAGAAACCATCAAACTTTTTGTAACCTATTGTAAACAAGTGGTGATGCTTCCCTGTTGCCCTATATTAAAACATATTACCGGAAGCGCTGCCAACTAGGTAGGCACCGCGCTCGTGGCCTAACGGTTATCGCGCGTGCCTTCCACGCAGAAAGCCAGGGTTCGATTCCGGCCAGCGGACTGCCCTTTTCAAGTTCGAGAACATTCTCGTCTGATAGAGTTCCGAATGTTCTCCGCATCGAAAGTTCTACGCCGTCAGATCCAGAAACCCACATGGGTACGGAATCCGCAGGGGGAGCGGAGTCAGTTTCGCCCCAGCGTTTAACTCTGCTGTCTCGCCGACTTCAACGCTCGCGACGCTTTGTTATTATCTTCTATTCCCTTTTTGTTTTGGGCACAAGTTCGCCCCATTAAACGTTTATTTCTTCCGGTTTATTTATTTGTTATTTTGGTCACCACCCGTGACAATATGAAGCTACGTTTTCAGTGTTCCCAGTAGAGCATCTCTTTGGGAGAACAAATTGGATAATAACTTTGCAAAGGTGTATCTTGATCGCGGCTTTCAATTGAACTTACTATTTCAGATCTGTCTATTAATCTGTCGAATCAATTCCGAAGCAAATGAAAGACTATGAAAATTTCGCCGGAGCTTCCCTCTAGTACGAGACGACGGGGCCCATTAAACAGCACCAAACACTGCGACGCAACGGTATTCTTTATCTTGTGCGTCTGCTTGAGTCAGTTACACTAACCTAGTGGCCATAAACTTGCATATTTGGTATGTGGCTTCGCGTTTGTACAATCAAGGAGTTAACTACACTCCTTGACTGTACAAAGATTATGGTCAAGGAGCTAACTATACTTCTTGGCTGTACAAGGAGTATAGACAAGGACTTTACTAGACTCTTTGACTGTACAGTGAATGCAGTCAAACAGTTGACAAAAGTCTCTCGTCGAATGTGTCGGCTTATGTTCTAAGATATATTGTCGCCAGGTTGTTTAGCCCTAGGTCTATTCGATGACGCATTCGTACGCATCTCGTTCAAAACAAAGTTTTGGCTGCGTAACTTCTAAGGTACGTTGTGATTGCCTGGACCTGAGCTGGTTGCTTATTCATGATTGTGAGGTTTGCCAGCTGAACGAAGGACGAAACATACAAGGTAGAGAGAGACAAGAAACAAACACATGCACTCTGCTGGACCAAGAACCATTTACTGATGTGATTCAGTAAATAGTTCCTCAGTAAATTATTAAATTCATTCAGTAAAAGGAATTCATTCAGTAAATTCATTCATTCAATAGTATAAAAAAGGTATTCAGCAGATGAAACTCGACGATGGAAAAGAAGAAATAACTCCGAGGACGATATCAACTCAAACATCCAATCCGTCTTTTTTCTACGCCCATGGTCCTCCTATGCTCAATTAAGGTTCAATTAGAAAGCTTTAGAATAGAAGGCTTCGATACTTTAGGTGCCCCGTTATACACCGTCTTCCAACTTTCACTGCGCTCTTGCACTTCGTTCGAGTTTAGGGGAGCGCGCTGCCTAAGCTGCGTGTCGATGAAACCATTAGAGCAGCGCCAAAAGCGCAACCTCACGGGGTTCGTGACCTTTCCGTGCTTGTGGCTAAACCAATCAATTGGGGTGCAAGCGGCGTGACCTTGCGCTTTCAATATGCCTCTTCGCTTCGCTTCTCTTCAAGCTATTAACTACGCTCTGACGCACGGCGAACTGGAGTATAATTGTTGTTAAGATTTGTTCCGCGCCCACTGGCGTCCTCGTCATCACCTTAAAGTCTGTTGCCGCCTAGACGTGTCTCAACATGCTACAGAGGAGGCTATGATGCGAGGCGAAGCGCATTAACGTTAGGAAATAAAATACGTTTTTATGCTTCTTAGACGAAGGGACAACCTTCGTGGCACCTGCTAACCTGACGGTACAAGTTCTAGGAAACAAATGGCGACATATGAGAGCAGCATACTCTCCGGGTTTTGACTTTCTTCCCACAGAATGGACTTCGTCATCCCTGCTGATAGTTATTACTTGGCCGTTGTCAGCGAAGGTGATGGCGACGGCTGGCCGGTGATTCTTAGGTCGTCCTGAACTAAGAATCACCGGCCAGCCCTCCCGAATTCAGAGTTAACGTGCTCAAAATATGAAAACGGAGTCTTGGTTAGCAGGTGCCGTGGGACAGATATCTCTCTTTGGCCTAAAAACGGACATCCTACAAGCATCAAAGAGGCAACGCTTCGCTAAGGGGCAGATTTTCTTTTTGCAATAACTAGAGATGGAAGTTGCAGACGACGTTTTGTTAAATAACTTAGCTTTCTTTTTTTTACTTCTAAAAGACTGCATGAAACGGATAACAAAATGGCGATTTGCTTTCATCGTGGAGTTTCCTGGGGGCTTTGTCTATCACCATTTTTTCTTTGGAAAGCTCCGTTGAATACCAGAAAGATCATGCCATGCAGTGGGCTAAACGCTTGCGCCCGCTCGTTTGTTACGTGTCCACTCCCTTCCTGGATGTCCAATCCCACGTACCTTCTACGAAGACCAGGATGACGGCCGCGAAGAAGACGGCCAGGGCAATCCGAATTGTCGTCGACTCCATGGCGCGTGCAAGACTGTAGTGACCGTCGCGATCGAGACCTCTAAGGTCCACAGAGGAACGCGGCAAGTCATTGCAGCCGGAAGCCCAGTCCGTTATCGCCAAGGAGACCGGACGCGGCAGCGGAACCGAGCGCTTGCCCCTCAAGCAGCATTATCGCCGGCAGGCAGTTCCGAGCTTTAGAAACACTCGGGCATAATTGGCCGCCGACGCCGCTGCTTTTTGATTCACCGGGTATATAGATTCGCGCGGTGACTTAGTCACTGAAACGTCTGCAGATCAGTGATGAGGGTAATTTTGTTTTGTTTTTTCGTTCCAGGAACTTTCATTTCTTTTGCTCATGTTCCGCTGCAGCATAAGCGAGATTGTAGTAAAGCCGCAGTCATACTGTTCGTATATCATGCAAAGGACACTGTGTTCGCTGTAGTCATGATAACATAATTATGTCCGTACACGCTTCAAGCATTTTTAAAAGCATGTTCGGTTCATACACGCGCATGTATGGTTCTATGCTGTCTGCAGACCGAGTTTCTCTGACCAATACGACAAGGCCGTGATGATACAAGTAACAATAAATTGAGCAGCCCCGTGTTAATCCGCAATACAGTCGCAGCGAGAGCTGCGACACGTCTTGATAAATTCGTCGGGCATCGTCGTCGCGTTCAAGCACCGTGGGGCGCGTGATTCTGAACGAATTAGACGTCTGTTGTGTTCCGATCGCTTTTGCTTTCTTCCAGTTTGTTCCGTACGTGTTTGTTTATCGTTTGCTGCGGTGCGCGTGAAAGCGCCTCTCCCGGAACGAGCTTTGGCATTAATAATGCTATGACAAAAGTTGGTTGTCTTTTATATTTTTTTTTCAGGAGTGCGTGCAGTGGGCATTGGGAACTACAAAAACCCGACGTATAGTGCGTCGTTAACGCTGTGGCGTAGCTAAACTCGGAGACTACTTCTCTTGGTAATGCGGTAGAAGGTACAGGCAGGCGTCCCCTCTCCCTTTTTGTGCCCTGATCAAATCTGTGCGCGGGCTCTTTTTGATCTCTCTGGAGATGCCAAGGAAAGTTGTCCCCGAGAACAGTCAGCTTACACACTTAACTTTTTTACACTCTTTAAGGGTGCTACAGCACCCTTTAGGGGTGCAGCAGGGGGTTTGCACCCTTCACTTAGCCGTCCAGCACCCTTTTTCTTGCAGGGTTAGCACCCCTCACGACGAGCGCGAGGGTGTATGAGCGCGAGCACCCTTCCGATTCATTGTGAGGGGTGCTAAAAGTTGGAAGGGTGTTGGAAGCGTGCTCAGTTATTCGGTCAAGGGTGTTCTTTATATTTAACAGCATAATTTAGAAAAAGAAGGAAGCGATAGATATCTGTATGTCGTCTTCAGTTTATATAACTGGGCTCAGCGTACATTAGATGAATTAATGAACCACAGTATATTTTTTTTATTCATTTTATTTTTATTTATGACTAATCAACCAAAATCCGTTACTCCGAAAATACGATTGTCATCTGTTTCAAATTACGACCAGCAAAAATAAAGCTCAATCAATCAATCAATCAACTAATATTTACTGCAGAGTTAAGGAAGAACCACTGGACTTCACGCTGGCATAGTTCAATAATAACAATAAAAATAAAATCATTTATTGTTTTTTGCAGTGCCCAGGGACATCCAATAGACCGATCCCACAGCTAGTTTGAGTACGCCACCGCTGCCGACATGCATCGTGGGAGCTGTAGTCTTTCTGCACATGCGACAACCCTGCTAGAGGTCTGCGCGAGCAGAGCACGAGGCGGCATGAGCTGTCTCGTGAATTGGCGCCTGCCTCCTACGAACTACAGCTATGGCGGAGTCACGCATGCGTGGAACGCTTGTTGAGATCGGTGTATTGGTCCTCTTGCTAGCGTAGTTCAACAGAACGTATAAACAGATATGCTTGCGCGCGCACACACACACATACACGCGCGCACGCGCGTACGCAAGCATGTACTCGCACAAACGCACGCAGACGCAGACGCACGCACAAACAACCACGCGGACGTATCCACACGCGCACACGAACACGGGCGCATGCACGCACACACGCACGCACGGAAGTGAATACGACAAACGAAACGTGCTTGAGCTATAGTTTCGGCTTCGTGTTGAAAAAGAAAACCTAAAGTTTAGATACAACCGAAGATAGACTAAATTTTTGTTAACTTTCTACAACATTATAGTGACACTATTAATAGTAATATAATACTTATTTGCTTAGTTTCGTTTTCAAAAAAAAAAGAAGAGCCTTTTGAAGACTGCGCAAGGACCATCGCTATTGCACTCAGCTGCCGTTGGCAGTGACCGTTTTGGGCAGGCTTCGAGGGTCGCTTCCTTTTTACGTTTTCGCAGATATTTTAGATATCTTCCTTACGAATAACGTGTTCAAGCATAGCAAGCGATGGCTGAGACCTGGGAGACGCTGCGTTACCAACGCAAGTTGCGGACAGTCCATCAACACTGCTGCAAACGCCGGTGAGCACTTCTGTGTCTGCGAACTGCGTCGCTGTTTCAAACTGTCGTGTACCATGGGCTTGCTAAGCTATGCTCGATTCTAACGATGCTTCTGGCCGGTGTTATTTCGCTATTTGAAAAGAGCGTACGTTGTTCAAAACCTATGGCTTGCTCCGCAGGGTGAGAGAGATTCGTGTGCGGCGGAGCCGAGAGGCTGTTCTGGGCGCCGTTCTGGGCGCCGTTCTACGACGTTCGTCCGACGACGCTTTTGCGGAGCGTTCAAGTGCAGTCTGACGGCAGTTCAAGCAATCACAGGTCATGCTAGTTCTGCCGTGTGGTCTCAACAGCCGCTCGCCACCGATTCGTTTCGTAAAGCGGGAGCGAGAAAAAACGTTACAAGAGCGAGCAGCATGATTTCTTGCCTATGCTTATGCCTGTGCCGCAGAGACGCGCGGTATCTTCGCGTATGCCGAAGCGGCACGCTTTCGAAGTTCACGATTGTGCGATGTAAGTAAAGTGAGTTTGGACGTCGCGTTTTTACGGGGCAGCGAAAGCCGCTACAAAAAGCGAAAAGCAAAAGTATGAAAAAATGCGAAAAGATCCTGAATATTCGATGGTGTTGAAAGGCTACCAACGTACCGACTCGCCCAGCTATTCCTTCTGTAAAAAAATGATAGCCAATAGTAATAAATGAAATAAATACCAACTTTTAATTGGTTATAAATCATGTGTAATTCATGCAGTACAGCCTTCCCTGCTCTGTTGCTTTCATGATATCAGGTAATGTGTAAATGTATAGGATAGTTCACAGGAACAATTTATGTCCGACCAATTATATTGTATGTTTTCTCTAAATGCTTGAAGTTATATAAAAAATGCTCATCGTAAATTAAGCCGCACCACTGAATGTACAATAGCTTGTGACTTTTATGTATGTTCCCAGCAAAAGAAAAAGATGCATTCAAAAAGGGCCAATTATTGCGTTTCCTCTCTGTTAAAGCTTTTTTCGGGTGCACTCAAAACTTGGGTGTCTACGTCTAAAAGAGTGGAATTGACATTTCCCGCAGGGCTGGCAGGCCTGACCCAGTTTGGCTGGCAGCTTGCAACCTATGGGAACCTGGGGAACTGAACCACAAAAGTGAGAGTGACGCCCACCCTGCACTTCCTCTACGATGGCACCATAAGGAAGAGGGAGCTGCCCCCAAAGTGAATGCAATGGCAGGTGGGTCGTTACAGTGAACCCTCATACAGATGATACCAAACAGAAAATCATTAAAAATGAATTATTATTAGAAACAAAGAACGGGAGTCGCACAGACAAGGAGGAGGAGATGAACACAGTGCTGTGTCATGTCCATATGCTCTGTTCCCATATTCTTCACAATTTATTTTTAATAATTGTCTACCAACTGGTCCAATCATCAGCACTGGCCAACAAGAGTATGCTGCTATTTTTTACTCTGCATTAACACTGTGCTTACAGTTAAATCCTACAGTAATGAACAAACAAAAAAGTGGGAGCAAGCCAGGCACGTAACCAAAATCTTGATTCGGCGGCACCCATGACAAAATGCTGTATGAGGGGGATGGGGGAGAAGAGGCCCCAGCAAAATGGAAGACTTTGGGGAGGGGGGGGGGGGGGAAGCGGAGAGGGGATGGGCTTTCGTTATCTTTTGAGTAGGACAGGCGCTGGCAGTGCCTCTGTGCTACTGGGAAAGCTGGAGTTCATATCCTTCAAATTAATTGGATCCAAAAAGCTATAATATGTATTAGCGGCTGAGAAACTGCCCTGGAGGAATGCTGGCAGAGGATAACAAAATTGAATGCACACACGACAGAACAATAATACAGAAAAACAAAACGGAAAGAATAACCCACTACCGATGGAGTTGCCATGCAGTTGCTTTCATTTTGTGCGTTGTGACGTCGTTGGGCTCCCTGAAGCAATTAGCAAGACATGTCAGTTTGTACTGGGCAAAAGACGATGAAGGAGCATTTTTTTTTTGTTGCTATTTATGACCTTCCATTTCAGCTTCTTCACATAAAAGGAATCCTTAGAATCCCTGTATTGGTGGTTTGGGTAACCTAGGCAATAAGGAGAGAATTATGTTACTACTGCATTATGTTTTAATTGAACAAGGCAGAACCAGCTTGTGCTGCAGTGGCGTCACATAATGCCGAATGCACGTGACTTGCGACGCATTGGCGATGCCTCATGAAGCAACTACGATGGGTCACACCCGCTATGTCATTTTTAAGGCAAAATTAATATTATAATCAGGGAGCTGCACCAGTTATCTATTAAGGTACTTTTTATTTAATATTGCAGATAAACAAGGAACATCTGAAGTTATAATTATAAAGTATGGAATCATTAAGCAACGAAAACATTAAATCATCAACACACCCGCCATGAAGCGGTGGAACAGGGGTCGCACCACAGTAGCTCTCAGCAGTAAAGGCGCACTTGAGCAGTTGTCACAGCTGTGCAGTGGCTGCGATTACACCTGTGTGATCG